CTTGCCTTTTGAAAAGAGTGGGGCGGGAAACACAAATGTTATTGCTCATGTAGTCAAACACATGGCAATATGTCAAGAGGCCACAAATCAGAAACAGAGACCGTGTATCAAGTGGAAACGTCTGAAAGCGCACTAGCCAAGCCAAAACCTTCGGGGGTTATTTGAAGGGAGCTGCTCACTGCGAAGTGCGGACGAGTGGAAAACGCAAGCAAATACAACACATGGGGCCATGTCAACAGACGGGGAGAAGGAAGGGACAGGGGGAGTGGACAGAGGGCAGGTGAGGGAAGGGGTCCGACTTGGGTCACCTGATTCTCAGAACAACAAGACAGCCTCAGAGAAAGGAGAGACTGCACAACCGCACAACTGTGATCTTGCGCAAGTTGAAAGGAACCTTTTCCATCAGGTGCTTAAGGAAGCCGTGACACTAGCATTTAGAGGAGCTTTGAATCTGAGCGATGCTCAAGTGAGCAGACACCTACTCACAGAAGCTGAACTGAAAGCAAAATGCTGGGAAGGGTCAGAAAGAGGAATATTTCTAACACAGACTACAGAGGACAAGAGAAATAGGACAAAGAACGTACGAGGGGTTTGATGCGGAAACGCGAGATACACAAGGCAAGGAGGGAAGGAGAGAGAGCTTACTGTGTGCAAATCCAGTATGGGGTTCGTTTTTGTTCTTTATGCTCAGATTGTGTTTCAGATTGTGAGTGGTTTATCTTTTGCAAATCCTACCTGCCCTCTGACTTCACGGGAGGCCCAGTGAATACTAGTAACTGCCCTAAAAGAGCAAACTCCGTTGTTTTCCTTTAAGATGTGGTTTGCACATAGTAGGTGGACTCAGCCTAAGTTTTGTTGGACTTAAATTAAATTTAAACTTATTTTAGGAGCGTCGATCTTAATTTATCGTCGTTAAATATTTGCTTCTGGGCTGAATGGAAACCCAAGTGCTGTTTAGTAAGAGACGGGCTTAAATTTGGATCTTGGAGAAGCCACTATGCAGTTCTGTGACCCTACGTCAGTTATTTAATCTCCATAACTCAATATCCTTGTCTGTAAAATGGGTATAATAATCCCTTCCCAGCAGTCACGAGGATAAAATGAGACATCACTCCAAACACAAGCGTTGAGGCAAGTGCTTGGGCACAGCGAAAGAACTGATTAAACGTGAGTTCCCTTTCCTTTCCCTAGTGCACCATAATATAATGTGATATTTAGAATTTTAATTCAGGCAATTACTTAAGTAGTAATTGCTATTTGTATTTACATAGCTGCTTTGATCCAAGAAGCTCAAAGGGCTTTACTAAATTTAGCATTTTAATAAATGTTTCATTTGCATTCCGTTGATTTTGTTTACCCACACCAAAACTTGGTATTTCCTAAAGGAAGACAGCCAGGCAAGTGAAGGAAACAAGATCACAGCCTGATGCTCACAGGTATCCCAGGTCTGAATTTCCTCTCTTTGTCGAAGATGTCACGGCTCCCCGGTGCTCGGGAATAAAATGGCAGTGAGACAGATGAACGTGCCCGCTTCCTCTTCAGCTACCTTTAGTTCCTGCCTGCTGAACTTCACCTTCGCCACGCTTCTCCCAGGCGCTGGCAACCGAGGTATGTTTATTGCACCAATGAATTTATATGTAATCAGCACAATAAACATTATTAAATCGCCAAAAGAAAATCAAAGCACGAAGCCCGGCGCCAGTACCGAATTCTAATGATGCTGAATGTCCGTGACTGCACAGGGACAGGATCTTCACAAGCCTCGATTTGAGCGTTGGCATCCGCCTCACAAATCACATGGGCCGCTCCTCCCGTAATAGTGCTGAATATTGATAAATGTCTCTACCCTGCGCAACAGGGAAGTGGGTTTCTATTGGCAATCTTTCCCAAAGTGTGTTTTTTCCCTTCTCTACACTCGAGGGTTTACCCTGAATGATTTAATTATAATTTTCCTTGTGTAAGACAAATTAAAGAGGAGAGTAGGAGTGTCGTGCCAAGCACATTATTTATCTCCTTAACAGATTGCAGCTCACCAGACCCCAGAGCTGCTGCTACAGTGGCTGCTCACAGGAGCCCGCAAGACGCATGGGGGGCAAGGGTGGGGGGGAGGCGGTTTCCAAATGACACAGAAAGACGCGGCCTCGGTGAGACTGTCAGACATCTGACTACTTTAAAAAACAAAAACTCCTAGGATGCTGCCTTTTCCTAACACATCTTCACACAGAGCATTCCTGAATCCTTTCAGGAAAGGTTCTTAAGCTGTTCACCTGAGATTGGGATGGAAGGGCTAGATTAGTATTCAGTGCGACAGAGGCTCCTGCTTGCTCAGATAGTGCTCCAGGAGGAAGGAGCTGGGGGAGGTGGGGTGGGGGTGGGGGGGACGCTCCTCTGAAATCAACAGAGGGACAGCAAAGTTACGTGTTTCACACAGACACGCTGGCAAGGAAGGGGCGACGCTTCTCCAAGGGGCCCCTGTGACAAACGTCCGGTCGGTGCATAGGTGAAAACGTATTTTTACAGTGATGGCTTTTCTACCATTTTCCGTTGAATAGGATACCACATCCGTGATTGAAAAATCAATCAATCATAAGGTAAAACCAGATAAAAAATCTCATTAAAAGGAGCTGTATGTAGGTACACAAAGCTGGCTAACTAATAAATGAATTTTTAATAATCAATGCTGTAAGGTTGCAACTTTTGAATTATCTTTAACCTAAGGTGCCCATTTGTCTTTTCGCTACATTCAGCTAAGATAGGCTCAAGAGCATTTTCTTTTAATTCAGCCACAACTAGGAACCTACCCTATGATAGGAATTGAGAGTTCCAAGATGTTAAGGAGAGGCATATAATGTCCTAGTTGTTTCTTCTTTACATGGATACATGTTTACCTTCTTCTATACATGTATAACTGGAAAATTCAACCTATTTGCACAGCCAGATTAAGGCTCGGTAGAGCCCAAGTTCTTTTCTGATCCATATTCTCATTTTGGCACGTAGCATAATGAAGATTAAGCCTAACTGTTGTGCAGACAAGGATCATTAAAAAAAAAAAAAAATTCCAACAAACTTATCCTCCTGGAATTAGACTGCCTATTAGATCCATTTACTTTCAAATACCCCTTAAGACGTGAAAAGGGCTATTCTTCTCCCACCTGCCTCATTGCTAATCTCTTACCTGACTGCAGATATAGACCCTTTCAGAATGAAACTGAGCACAGTGCATCTAAACAAGAAGAGTTTTCTGTGTCACAGGAAATCTGTGCAGGCTCCACATGGCCGACAAGATTGCAACAAATACCTTAAGTGCATCGGTCGGCATTTTTTAGTGGATGGCCCGTTCTGCCTATGGATAAAGATGTAATTTAATCACTCTGCAGTAAATGGATGGCATCAACCTCACACACCCAAACAAGTACAGCAGGGGACAAGAGCCTGGAACCTTTTCTTTGAAGTTATTTAAAGTTTAGTAGGTTTTGTTTTTGTTTTTTAATTACAAAGACACCATAAGAGATATTAAAGCAAGAGCTAGACTGGCTTCCAGACGCACAAATTCGTTCTCACTGGAAACAACAGAAGCCACATTCGGCCCAATGGGTCCACACAGATTCTTACTGTCCACATTCTATCTGTCAAACTGTCCCAAACAGTAAATTTAAAATACCTTTTACTTCTCCTACGTCTGCCACAGAAATTCCCAACTGATCTTAAAGGGATAGTAGCAAGTTTCGGTTAAAACATAGGTTATCCCCATCTCTCAGACCCTCTCACGTTTTTATGCTTGAATGTGACACACATACACAGAGGCACAAATATTCACAGAGCAGTTTCTGTGATTACTGATCTCGAAATGGATAAAATGTTGCTGGTAGAAAGATACAAAATGTTGCTGGTAGAAAGATACAAATCTAATTAAAACCATGGGCTTCTTAATGCTCAATATTTCACGAAATATATGAAATTATATTTGTAACTGCTCAAGTGAAAAATATAATTAAAAAAATTTTACTGAGTCATTCTTATTAAAAAAACCCCAAAACACAGAGTTTGTTTTTCCTGCTGGAAGTGACATTTACTATCACACATTACTTTGAAAGTCTCTTTTCTTCTGTGTGGAGACGCTGGGCATATGAAATAGATGGGAAACAGTTTAAAAATAGTACACTGAAAATAAGTTTTTTTAATTTTAGGAACATTATATATACTCCACTTTTGGAAAGCATTCACCAGTAGTATTAATGCTCCTGGGTGCTAAGATCCAGTAATATGAACCAACAGCTTCATTTTCTTAGACTTCTTCTGCTCCCAGGATGCACTCTGGGTATCTCAAACAAACCTGGTATCAGCTAACATTCAAGGGAAGCTGAGGGCAACTGTAAAACATAGAGTCTTCACTTCCAAACAGGAAAACAGCAACTTAGACAGCACTGCATTGCTCTCTGAAAGTGAAGGCTTTATTTTTTTAAATTGGTGTATCTACACACGGCCTGTGTGCGCATCGACACAGACCACCCCCTTCCATCTCTCCATCCTTCACACCTTCACTGAGGATTTACCCTGATAAAGGCCTTCAAGGAGGGCAGTACACAGAGGCTAGGTGCTCCCTCTTCTTGACCTGTGATTCATGACAGACAGTCCCAGACTCTGCTACTCCCTGAGAAGGCATTTCGAGCCCAGGAGTTCAGGCTGCACGGGGTGAGCCCTTGGCGCAAAGAATAAACCTGGAACCCTTGGAATCGACCCATGAGGTGAGAGCCTAACTCTGCCTGCGTTCTTGATCTGAAGGGTAGACCTATATAAGCGCTAATTCCATGTTGAAAACGTGAAAATAATTAGACGTTTCACACCCCAACCATATTGAACACATTCTTAAGTAATTATATGCACATTCGAGTCACATGGATTCAATTAGGGATCGCGGAGATGTGGCTGAACAAGGCCACCCACCCACCCCGCCCGCATGAAGAGACCCTTCTAGACACAGCTCAGCCGCTCGTTCCTACCTTTCCCTTTTGGGGGTGTGGACTGAGAGCTGTCCATTGGTAGAGGCATGTGGGTTCATTATTAAGGAGGTCTTGGAAGGTGCAGAGGAGGAGACACATGTCGTGGTCAGATCCAAACTGCTGTGATTGCTGCCTGCGGTCTCTTCCGCGGTATGAGCGCTTGTCACTTCTTTCCAGAGCTGCTGCAGTTCAGTTGGAATCATGCCTGAAACAAACAAATTGGATAATTAAATCAATTAACAGCTAATTCCGTCCTCTTCAAACAGTAATTAAATCAAAGAGTCAGTAAACAAAGCCTAGTGTTAGGGGGGTTTTTTTGGTGCGTGCATTTCCTCCCACCCCCAACTATGGCAAATACGGTAGTAACAACCGTGTCCTCCGACTGAAGAGCCGAGTCGAAGTGCCCTCGTCACACATAAAAGACCTCTGTGCAGAGGATTCCAAACACAAGTTACTTTGCAAAGATGGTACGCTTCCATCCAAACTCTTGTTTCTAGATTTTTGCAAAGGAGATGGATGTTACTGTAGTTTTAGACACAAAGAAGGGCTCAAAATAAATTTGCTCAACTATACTATTATGACAACAGGAACCACAAAATGAGTAATTTTTGTGCTTAAGTCTTAAATGATGACAAATAGCTTTGTTATTAAATACAGTTTTTATTAATCACTTTTAGACATAAATTATGAATTCATATCATCTTCCTGAAATGCTTTTCAACTTTTAACATTCAAATTGATTATACTATGATTATTTCATTAACACACCTATCTTCCTCATTAATTTTGGTTTCTAGTACCACATGCTTAATTGATGGATGTGTCTACTGCAAAACTGTGTAACTTTTTTTTTTTTTTTTACAAGTAACACTATTATCACTGTCATTTCTTAGATCAATGCTAATGAACCATTGCAGAATAAAATGCGAACGTAAAATAAACTTGGAGTAATAAAGTTCTCTTGTTTCTTAAAGGGGTCAAAGTGGACATGGGTCTGGAGCAGTTAAGTGTCAACCTGGATCTTCCCCAAGGGGAGATACAAGCAGTGTGTCGATTCACTACTATGGGCTCATAATCTTTCTTTTAGAGGCATGCCTCTATAGCCCAGGGTTTCCAAATCCCGCTGCAATGCACAGGCCTCCTGCACATACAGGCACAGAAGAAGATTCTGGAGCTCACAACACCAACCAACAAAAAATAGCCATTCCTTCCAAAGGACAGCTAAAGGAAATCATAAACCCTGTACAGCATAAGGCCATTCCACATTAGAACTGGGTGTCTGGATTGCCATTCATTGTTTCAATCAACTGTAACACTGCTACCCCAGAAAACCTGCCATTTTCTGACTATATAGCAGCACCCGAAACAGACGTGTTTCTTACCAAACCTAAGGTATTGAATTAAAAAAGAGGGCTGTGCGCATTATATTCATTTGAAACACATAATAAAAAATGCCAAGGTCTAAATTTAATTTATTTTTGTCATTTAGAATACAATGGGTAGATAATCATCTCAACGTGATCAGCCAAACATCTTTACTTTGCTAAACTGTTAAAGATTTTAATTATGCTAGCATTGGAGAGCACTGGTCTAATGAGGCAATGGACTCCAGAGAATCCGAGTGGTTAAGAACTGTGAAATGAGTCTGATAGGATTTTTTTATATTCACCGTGGATCGTTTGCATATCAAAGAGGAGTAAATTATTGCACAGCAGACCAATAACCTTCCCCGCCTTTCTGAGAGGAGCGTTAACAAAAACAGTTGGTCTCTCCTAACAGTTCTCCACGAAAATGTTCAAATGCTCAAGTATTTGCAATTAATATATATTATAAAAGGAGGCTTCAAATGATACATTAAGTGGTCAGATATTCTTAGAACGCATCCTCGGCAGCCAAGTCGGTTTTCTTCTTCCTTCATAAAAATCAAATGCCAATTATATTTTGATGGATTTTGTCCCAAATGAGCATTTAGTTATTAGGCATATTCAATTATTACTTGTCCCCTGAAATTAAGCCTCACAGGCAAATTAAACAAAGGGAAAGGTCACTACACAATCCCGTGTCCGGTTCTGCTGCATCTGGGCTATTATTTTCAAACACCTTCCGAAGTGACGTGTGGGATGTGTGCACAGCTAACAGGCCTGCCACTGAGGTCCACACACCGACAATTACCTGTGAATATGGCTGACCCTCCGACCACTGTTTACTCCCTTGAAACAATAGTGAATAGGCCTGTCTGTTGATGATAGCACATTGATCTCAAGCCACACAAGTCAACACCTATTTTTATTTTCCAGGGAGTAAATACACATGAAAAGAACAAGCTGCCTATTTTTCAACTCAAACTAATTGATTTCTGGGTCAGCTGCATGGGAGGTGAAAAAAATGGAAGAACGCTGTTTCTAACAACTGCGTTAACACTTTCCCTCCAAGAAAAGCGGAACTTTGAAGCTCTTTGCAAAGCAAGCTGTTTATCCAGCCAGGAAAGACAAAGGCAAATGCCTTGCTGCACTTGTTACACGTAAGAGTACATTAATGTTACTCCACTTCCCTTTCATTCCGGTGGGCTGGCAAATGGCGTTTCATCACTCACAGGGGGAAATGGTAAATACAGCAGCAACTCACTGACAACGGCCATACTTTGGGGTCAAATTTGACTGTGATAATTACGTTTAAGAACATTCTCATCCGATTTACCGAGAGCCAGTCAAATCACTCTCCTCCATCAATGCTACACCTTGTTCGTGAGGTTAAACTGTTACTTCAATGCGTACTAGCTACCAGAGGACACTCTTTTTTGACAGCCACAAGCTCATGACAGAATTAAGACAGATCAAAGGCAAGCTAGGCACTCATCAGACTAAACGGTTTTCAATTTTCCAAAAAGCATCACACATTTTTTTCAATGTGGTAGAAAGGAATAGCAGTACCAAGTTAAATGCATTACAGGTATATATGCCAACCATGTAATCTATAGTTCCTGTTTTAAAAATTAGAAGGTCCGAATATTGAAAATATATTTCTATACAGAATTACTGGTGCAGGGGGGCGGGGCGAGTAGTTGATTCAGAGGCTTCAAGAGACCAGGGAGAAAAGCCCAGGTGTTAATTATATAAACTGGAGAAGACTCTACAGCACTCTTAAACACAACACAAATGTCCTTCCATTTCATAACATAAAGCCTTCGGGCAAAAAATAAAAAGGCCTTCAAAACATTACTCTCTATTCATTCTTTCATATTTATACACGTTACACGTTTAAGGTGACTTAGCCAAGGCCGTGAGCAGGTATGTGAAAGAACCCTGCTGACTGCATCACGAAGTGGCCACTGCTGGCGTTTCTAACGCGTAACCCCTGCGCCTTGCTACATTTCTTTTTCCAGGACGACCGACCCCTTCATTATAAAAGGAAATGCAGACACAGGCTTAAAAAATGTATGTTGTGGGGACAGTTGACAGATTACTGCTCATGGAACTCAATTTTACAACCCCAGGTATCACTGGCTCAAAGACAAACAGAGTTGATCAACCTTTTTGTGTCCTTGTACATCCATACCCAGGTGACCATGTTCAAGCAAGCAGAAAGTTGATTTAAGCCTCATAATGACATCAGTTTTAAGCCATCATGTCTCTGATAAAAAAAAATTGTGTTGTAGTCCAACATGACTGAATTCTCCAGCCACTTTGGGCCAGGGGGTAGGAGAGACAAAACCAGGCTCCGGATTCCACAAAAGATGGCAATGACCACGGTAGCTGTCACTTCGCTGCCAGAAGAGGACTCCCGTATCTTAGGCACACATAAGGGCACCCCTTAGATTTTAAATATGCTTCTTCCTAATAGTGCAGGGGCTAATAGTTCTAGTAGGTTGCTAAGCATATCAATCAATGCCATGGCTAGTGAATTACCTACTGGTGTCTCTGATATGTTACTGCAGAGATTACACTTCATGCATCACCACATTCATTTCTTTCACATTACACATGAGCTTGTCTTGTCACTGCCCAATTGCCCTCTTTTGGACAGCTTAACTGATGTACTATAACAATGAACCTTAGTGAGCAAACTTAATAGTACAGGAGCGGTGGGAAAGAGGAGAGGCTGAAGCCCGAGTCCAGTGGGTGTGTCAGAACAGCCTGCAATGTTTCCAACAATAAACCCGAGGGTGTAATTAATGCGCGTTGTAACATTTTGCAAGCACAAAAATGCATTAGGCGATGTGTCCTTGCTTCTCCCCGTGTATTGCTCAGTTACCAAATCTTCTATTTTGACAGCCGCTGGAGATGCTGATTATGTACCCAGTGGCTGAGCAGTAATGGCAAAGGGGGGAGGAGGCCCGAGAAGGCCAAGAGAGGGAGAAGCCCAGTTTCAGTGCTGAAAACATAAACAAACCCCAAAAAACCCCAGAAGAAATAGAAGTCGGGTGTGGCTGACTCGAGACAGATTCAAATGGAGATGGGCCCCACAGGCCCCACGTGACACCTGAAGTTACTGAACAAATGAGCACATCTTAATAACCAGGAAGCGTGAAGGAGGTTCCCCATCTGCAACCCTCTTGAGAAGGTACACGAATCCAAGACCCCACAGAATTAGCTACCGGTCTTGAAGGCTCAAGCATGTACACCCAAGCCTTTAGAATGACAAAGACTGGGGGCCTTGAGAAGGCAACTGAAATGTGCTGTACCTGCACGGAGAGTGGGGGAACCCTATCTTTAAACACAGCAGGACACCATCCTCTTCCTTCCAGACTTTCCTTCTTCCTGCTTCTGAATAAGCCACTTGCTTTCACATTACACATGTCCAAGAGTTGCCTAACCCACGAGGATGTCCTAAAATGGCTAGAGTCCTCATGTGTTTCTGATGTCCAACACCCACTGTCATAACAGGTCAATGGCTTTTCAAAAGAAATTTGGAAATCCGTGAAATCTTGTCCCTTTGCAAGGAACTCTAGTTTCCGAAGGGCAAGAGCTAGGAATGCTACCTGTTCTGGTGAGCGTAGAACTGAACTTGCTCAAAAACAAACGGACATGGGGCGCCTGGGTGGCTCAGCTGGTTAAATGTCTGACCCTGGCTCTCTGCTCATGATCTCACGGTCTGTGAGTTCAAGTCCCACATCGGGCTCTGCACGCTCAGTGCGGAGCCTGCTTCCTAGCCTGTCTCCCTCTCTCTGTGCCCCTCCCTTGATCGCCACATGTTCTCTCTCTCTCTCTCTCTCTCTCTCAAAAATAAACAAACAACCAAGAGATGAATGCAAACAATGAGAAAAGGAAAACCCAACCGAAGAGATGAATCTTGACCGTTTATAGAAAAATAAACCTGAATTTATCCCTAGCAATTAAAAAGTGGCTTTTAGGAAGCATTACTAAGCTTTAAAACAGAACAAGTTACAGGACATAAAATATACCTCAACATGGCTAACAAGAGCCTTCAAGAAAATTTACTTGTGATTCCAAGCTGACAACGCTAGATCTGATTAAAACACTACGTCCAAAGGGCACTGCTTTCTCTTACTCTGAGAACGCGCAGAAGCGGGACTCCTCGGCTACTGCTCGGGATCACACCTCCACCCCCTGTCTTCGCTCGGGCTCCAACGAGCCCTTCATCCTGGTGACCTCCTGCAGCCTTTTCTCTGCTTGTTCCAGATGGACCGTCTCCCCACGGATGGGCCAGACTGAGTACACCACCAGACGGCCCTCACCGCCGCCCCCGGGTCTCTGCGGAGCGGCACCGCCCGGGGCACGAAGGCTTACCTTGGGCGAGGGGCTGGAGGGGGAGGGCGGGCTGCCCGGGCTGAATCGTAAGAAGGCCTTGGCGCTGCAGAGACAGGAGGTGCTGCTGCTGTAACTGCTGCATCTGTAGAAGCTGCTGCTGAAAAGCCAACTGCTGGGTAGCCACCTGCTGCTGCTGTAAGAGACCAGCAAGAGAAAGATGAGGCGGCCGCTCCCTGAGGAAGCTTGCACGTGTGGGTGTCTCACAGCACGCTGCCATGGTCAGACACCGATTCTAACGGGGGTGGGGGGGGTGGGGGGGGCTGGTGGACAGCTCCGTGTCAAAGCTGGCAAAAAAGGGCGGCACCCGGGGCACCCGGGTGACTCAGTCGATTGAGGGTCCGACTGTGGCTCAGGTCATGATCTCCCGTCGGTGGGTTCAAGCCCTACGTCGGGCTCTGTGCTCACAGCTCAGAGCCTGGAGCCTGCTTCGGGTTCTGTGTCTCCCTCTCTCTCTCTCTCTCTCTCTCTCTCTGCCCCTCCCCAGCTCACACTCTGCCTCTGTCTCAAAAATAAACAATAATAAACATAAAAAAATTAAATAAATAAAAGGGACAGCACCTATGACCCCTGGGGAGAATGGGGTGGGTGGGGGACGTGACGGAGGCATTCCCTTTCTGCGGCCTGGGGCCCAGAAAAATACTCTGGCAGTCCAGTCAGCTTCTGAAAACTATAGTCCAAAAGGCCCGAGATGTTAGAGCCGAGACGTGAACTTCCAGACTCTGAAATGTTTCCACACTCGCACACCAGGGAAGGAATGCGCCATTCCAGTCTGCGGGGATTTGAACCCTGAACCTGGGAGGGCACGGAACAAGCTGGTTTCCTCTTGCCTGCACCGGCAGCTTTTAACTACTCTGTTTATCACTCCTGACATAAATAAATGAGAAAAAATCAGACCTTTGAAGAAGAAAAACTTCATCTAATATTGTTAATTAGCCATGACAAACGATGAAATAACATTGTAAATCTTTCATAGAAACAGCCACTAGATTTTAATTACACACATTCATAATTTAGCAAACAACATCGTACTCCACTGTGAGTGTTTAATAAAGGACACTTTAAGCTTCAGATGCCTTCACTTGGCTTTCGTTTCAGAAACCCCCAGGTCATCTCCCCAGTCCTGCTTCACGTGCACAACCCCCCCCCCCCCCCGCTTTGTTCTTGAAAAGAAGGGGCTTTACGGTATGATAAATATCTTTTTGTTGACTGGACAATGACAGGAGGAAAACTTTTGTTGTGTAAAACATCAATACATCATTCCTGTGTTTAGCAGGCCTCGCTCCAGCCAAAAAAAATTAATGTAGATTTCCTCAGTAATTATCTGAGTGATAGAAAGATAATACAGTGCAGTAGTACAATAAATAGAAGGAAATTATCTAATATCCTTAATCTGCTAGGAATCAAATCGAGGTGGAGGTCTTAGCCACTTTACGGCTAACAATTATGAAAGGAGATTTAACCCTTCCCAAACTGTCACCTACCCCCCCAAAAAAAAGGTTAAGTAAAGAACAAGATCCGTTTTCCTTCCTAATACTGAGTATCATTTGAAACATCGGGGAGACTTTCACAACTAAACGGGACTACACAACCCTTTCAGAGGTTCTAGTAACTCTACTTTACAAACAACTGCATTCACTTAACCTAACACATAACCTTGATCTGATACATCCGTAAAATGGTATGTGTATCAAGACCTTCTGATGCAGAAGTTCAAAGGGAGAGAAAAAATGGTGGTTCCCTCTCGGTCTCCATGCAGTTTATTTTACAGTAAAAACCATCATTCTCATATTAGCAACCAATTTCAGACTTACTACCATGCCACTGAGAAAGTTAATTGAGTTTCACTCCAAAAAACAAATTCTATACCACTAACAACAAAAATTTAAATAAATTTAAATGAAAAGCCAGTGTTTTCATTTGAAGAACAGCATGCATAAAATGATCCAATTGTTTTCACCCTTTCCCAAGTTATCACATTAATGTAAAACCCAATGATAGTTATATTCATGTCAAGATGATTTCTTCACTTCTTCAACAGATATTAATTCATGATACTTAGAAAAAAAAAAAGAAGGAAGGAAGAGAAAAACACAACACGGCTACACAATAAACGATCGAGGAACGAGCTCTTCTTGAAGCAGAAAATAATGGAGAGGGGGTGCGAGAGTTTGGGGAGGGTGTTTCCTGTCTTACTGTAAATGAAATGTTTAAAAATTCTGTATTTATATAAAATGACGGATGGCTTTTCTGTTGTCTCGGTGGCCATCCCTAGGAAAAGCTCATGAAAGCTGTCCACGTTTGAAAAGCCAGGATATAAAAGTATACAAGGCCCATTGTCCAAAGAAAGAATTTAAAAGCAACACTGGTTGCCAAATTGTGCTCCCCACCCAGTTACCAAACACAGGATACGAGCCCGTTTGTTTACTTCTCACAATTGAATGCATACAAAAAAGGTCTCCACGCAGTCCCCTGGACAGGTCAGTAGTCAGTGTTAAAATGCTCGAATGCCCTGATAAACCTTGCATTTCAGGTCCCCTCCCTAGAGCTGCAGTCAAAGGTCTGTTTTCCTTTCTTCGGCTCCTCCCTGCTGCCTAATGTAAACTGTCACAACTGCCCGGACAAACGGCCCTTTTAAAACAATCAACTGAGCCTAGCTCGCCCGCACAGGATGGGATCTTTTTTTTCTTTTCGTAGCCTGACTCAAAATTAAATCTGCCTTCAGTCTTCCACACCCGTTCTGTCAAATATTAATGGGCGGCCACCTGAGTGGCCGTATGGGGCGATGGAAAGGTCTGTCTCCTAAGAAGGTCTTAGGTCTACCCCAATGGGGAGCCTAACTTTCTCACGGAAACATCTTGAGGCGAGGCGACTTTCGAAAAAAGTTGAGGGGAGAAACGCTGTTCTGGCTCAGGGTCAAGTGTCTTACTGCACAGGTAATCGAAAAAGGGAGAAGGGTGGCGGCGGCGGGGGCTGAACGATTCAAAATTATGAGCCACTAATGACTGGAGATTCAGTAAATTAATACGCTTGTTCCATCTGTCAACATCCAAGCTCAAACCCTGTTAAAATCCTAACCACCAGTCTACATCCTGAATCTGCTGCCATGTGACTGTGTTTCACTGCAGCACGAATGGACGGCCCCCTGGCTGATCATTTCGGGAGACTGCCCCCTTACCTCGGGAGGGTAAGGACCTCTTAATTGTGCCACTGCCCTGGCACCACGACAGTACACCGTGGGGCCCAAGGAGACCGGCCCACTGGTCTGCCACCCCCCACCCCCCCACCAGGATGTTGAAGACAACCCATGTCCTGTATCACGTCTGCCTTGGAGGCGGATGACAGAGGGGGACCACAGCAAAGCTCCTGCCCCACGGATGCTAACAGGCTACTCCAACGTCTCACCTTCTCCTCGTTCCGGTCCAAAGTTCTCCCCTCTCCCGGGCTCCCTCCCGGGCTCACCTCCGCAACTCGACGCCACCATCATCCTAACTGTGTGCCGAGATGCCCCCCTTTCTGACAGCAGCAATTTGGGCGAGTTAACTTTTATCCTTCCTTCTGCTGTGTAACTTGCGCCTTCACATTTCTTTATCTGCCCTCTGAGCTCATCTGAACTTTCATCTTCTCTCAGCGTGCGGACGTGCATTCCAAACTATGTCTAACAGACCAAATAAGAGGTTAATAAGAAGTGGCAACAGAAAGAAAAAAAACACGATCCCTGGTAACTGATAAGAATGACAGTAGCAGCCCTTTTTTGTTTGTCTTCAAATATAGAGTTAAAGATCTTTAAAAAACTAAATTTTGATGCCTTTGAAAAGAAAGAAGCACAAAATAACAACAGGGGGTTATTGCCTGCGAGCCACGGGGGAGAAACTCCATAATTCTTATTCTCCCTTTTGAAGGCTGTTAGAAATCTGATTCAAAAAAGCAACAGCAGAAGGGGGAAACCTCTTGAGGCTGTAACCATTTCCTGTGATCATGCATAATGTGCTTCAAAAGTGGGTTTTTACCAATTCTGTTGATCAATTGCACCTCCTTCATATCCCTTCTTTTTTCTGCTGTGTTTACATCTGATGTGACTCAATGACAAGCACTGTCTGAGACTGTGAAACAGGCCTGTCATGTTGATTTATGGGCGCATCAAACCACAACTTGTCCAAACTGAAGCTCGCAGTTCATTAATTAGAGAGTTGTGACTTTGAAGTCAGCTTTCAGACTGTGGTTTTTAACATTTGGCTTAATTTATATGCTCTTGAATGTGGATCTCTAAGGAAAAAACTGAAATTCCCTTCTTGTCTTTGAACTTCTTTTGACCGCACAATAATCATTTCTTTGTCCAGAGTGATGCCTGCAATCCCAGAGTCATTAACGCGCATTGAACTGCCACTGATGAGTAAGCCCTACTGAATTAGAAAAACAGCCAGCAAAACAAAGCTGAGAGCCTTCTGCACAGTGATATCTCACAATTACATGCCTTCCCTCCCTGGGCCATTTCCATTTTAATTACTGTTAGTCCTTTAGATTTACATTTTAGACACTTTTTAATCTGTTCCCTTTTTTATTAGAGCAGCGCCCGGTAGCGCGCCACTGTACTTAGGTTGTGTCCGCGTTTTCATTGAAACACCTCCTCCCCTTCACCCCCAAACTGCCCCTGCTCTGCAGGGGTTTGCGTCCAGGCTGCTGAATGGGACTGCACGGGAGAAACTTGGCAGGGCACGGAAAAAGTGCCCGAGTGATGCCGAGGGAGGAGCCGGCCAAGGAAGAATGTGTGTGTCATTCCCAGGGTGGAAAACGAGCGCTGCCTGGCATTCACTCTCACGTGAGGGGCAGGCATGTGGAGTCGGCGTGTAATGCTCCTGCTCAACTAACGGAAGGGGCTGCTTGCTTAGGGCCAGCCAAGAAGCCATGCACCTGGACCACGAGCTGTGCCGTCTTTCCAACTACAAACTGTGACATCCCAAGGTGAACAGGTGAAAAGAATTCCAGTCCATCATAAGAACGTGAGGAGGCAAGTTACATCGGGTAACTGGGATCCGCAGAAAGATGTCAGGATGACGCACACATGCACTCGGACACTCCAACCGCCTGTCCTTCCCCGACACAGAGCTGCACAGAAGGTGAGACGCGGAAGCCCTCCCTGGGAAGGCCTGGCCGCTTCTGGACGCGACACGGTCACCTAACAGGGTGCCGTGGCCGGGGCGAGAGCCACGCGCCCTCCCACAGCGCTTTGCACAGAGGAGCCGCGGCGGCGATGCGCTTCCACGCCAGGGAAGCGCAGGTCCCCCAAGCTCCGAGGAAGGGGTCTTCCCTGTACCTCACCGCCTCACACCTGCCTGGAGCGATTGCCAAATGCATGCAACTCGTGAGGAGAAGTTACACGGAGACAGACAGGGATGCTGACGCCTGTCCTGACCTTTCTGTCCGTCCAACCTCGCAAGACACAACTCTTGCAAAGCAAAGGGCCGTCCCCACACACCCGAGCTCAGTGAGCTGGGGAAAAATCCCAGGTGCGCATCCAGGTGAAATTCCGCTGAACGCGCTCGCCTCCTCGCCCGCGCTTCTACAGGGGTGCGCGAGGAGCCTCGAAGGTCCTGCCTGCCATCCCGCCCGCCCCCCGCCCGGTGCTCACCGACGGGACCCCTGCCGCGGTGCTGGCATCGAGCATGTGGCGGCGAGCAAGTGGAACCCGGAGACATGTCAGAGAGAACAGGGCGCTACCTCGGCCTGAGAGCTGAGAACCGAGAGCTCAGTGGTGCAATCATTTAAAAGATGAATGACAGTTTAATAGCCACTAGATAGTCCTCTGGGGTCTGTGGTTTGAAAGTAAAATATGTATTGTCGGTACCTCTTTAGGCTGTTTTCCAGCATGTTGTTGTTGTAAAAGCTGAAGCTGCAACTGTTCCTGTTGTTTTTTATAAAACTCTTGAAGCTGCTGCTACAAAGGAAAGAGAGGGCGGTAAGTAACAGAGGGTAGCGCCAGCCCACTGTCCCTTTCGGTGCCATCCACAACTGTGACTTGAAAAATAGCATCCTTTTATCTGTAGCGGCCTGACCTTTAGTTGGAAACGCGACCATAAATTTCAGCGCACGCTGACTATTCTTGGCATTATTGTTTGAAAAGTAATCTCCGAAATGAACTGGCGAAAAACATACCATTTTCTACACAAACTAATTAAAATATGGCAAGGAATGACCTTTGGTTGTAAAACAAAGCCAGAGTGCCCTTGCTGGGAGAGAGCCTGGCGGACCGCTACCGCCAACGTGCGCATGCTCTCCGAGGGAACGGGGCTGGCCAGTGTGGCGGGTGGGTCACGCGTCTGCGCCAACAGTGTGGGGAGCTTCCTGTGCCTCCTGACCCCTGCGCGTCACCCGGGCAGCTTCTGTCTCTCTACTTCTGCATCTCCTCTCTTTGGTTCGGGTGTCCGCGAAATGTGAATGTTAGGGCCCCAGGGCACCATGGCAGCCAGAAGTTCATTTCTGCACCGGCAGATGTGAGAGAAGTGACGTCACCCCTGTCCCTTAAAAGTACCCAACTCCGCAAGGTCTCTTTACGTTTAAAAGCAGAACTTCTGCGAGCTTCTGAGTTGAGATGGGGACTTCGAGAGCTGTCACGTGTAAACCTGCTCCTAACGTGCTCCCCATTTTGCTTTGATTCACACCACTCGGAAGCCCCCGGGCTTACCAAAATAAAAGAGCGTAAAGCCATCTAAGCCTCAAAGATCTTCCTCTTTACCAAGTCCAATTACAGCCCTAATCTCAGTCCTTCGGGTACTCTCTGGGCCCAACCCCTAGTCACTTTGGCGGGGTCCCTCCCTTTCCGGGATGCAAAGTAAGATCAATTATTCAGGGGTCCGATCTGCTCGCTGCATCTGCCCCAGCCACCCTGCTCTGCCTTCTCTGCACTGGGGAAAGGAGCTGCTCGGGGCAGGGGACGGTGAGCGGAGTCGCCGGCCCCGCGAGGAGGAAGACGGGCGGTTACCTGTTGGAGCATGAGGGCCTGCTGCTGCTGGAGGAGGACCTGGAGCTGCTGAGGGCTCAGCACCTGTTGCTGGAGGATCTGCTGCATTTGCTGGGGGGTGATAACTTGAGGTGTCATCATAGCCACTGACACGGGAACCTAGAACGTTAATGAAGGATAAATAGGAAGCCAGGAAATTGCGCGCACGCAGCACTCAGCCTTCCAGGGTCAGCGGCAGACTGTCACGAGCCCGCTTCAAGAACTGACCAGTTTCCCATGCACGGGTGTCTCTCCAGAGGGGACGGGGCGACAGATCCTATTTAATCGATCACGGAGTTTATGTGAAATGAAGAAAGACAAAAGAAGGCCTCGCAGCACTGACAGGTGTGCAGACCAGTCTTGCCAGCGGACAAGGCGTCGAGGCTTAACAGATGCTATCTGGGGTTCCGTCAGAACGATCTCGATTTATTAAAGAGTCTTTGGTGACAATCAGCTGTGGGAAGTTTCACGCAAACCTGACTTTTGTTTTAGGGAAGAAGGCAAATGGGAACCTGCGCCTTCTCGGTGGGAGCTAATCCGATCCACTTACTGTGAGGACGGTGATTTTAAGGACAGCCAATGAACGCCCAGACTTGCGGGTAACTGAACCCTGGACGCACCTTGCAAACTTCAACACAGACCTTCCCTATGATGCCTTTTGCCCTTCCTTATTCACCCACCATACAGATGTCTCCATTCTTTCCTATGCCGTGTGATACCATTAAAAGCTACTTTCCATGACATTTCAGTGACAAACAGCTACAGTGATGAACTTGATAGCATTTCATATTTGCAACTGTTAACACGTTTCTGCACGGGCATTTTTGCAAGGAACCTGCACACTGTATCTGAAAGGATGATGTCTTGTTCAGATAAAACACTGACATTAAAATGACAGGCTGTCTTGGCCAAGGTTACACAAATTGTATTCAAGCGGATACCTAATGACAATGCTATGAATTCTGCAAGCTTTCTAGAATGTAATTTAGCTATTCAAAATAATCACTGCACTTGTGTTTAATTTGCAGACTACATGAGAACCATTTTGTCAGTCCCCGTAATACAAGAAGACTATTTCACGAAAAACTGCCCCCTCCCCCCATAAAAAGGAAAGAAAAAAAAAACACAATGAAAGGAAAGACAAAACCTGTATGTCTTCTAACGGTAATGTTTAAGCATCTTACTTTTCTTTGGTTTCGAATCAAACATGTGACAGCAAGAAGCTAGAAGCAGTAAAGGATATACTTTGTTAAAAAGGATCTCCTGTCATCTCATGTGTTACAATAAAAGGTAATAACATGTTTTGCACTTTGCCTGTGTGCCACTTAAAAAAAAAAATCTGGCAGACAATAGCTGATCAGAAGATAAAAGAATTAAAAAATCTTTCAGGGGAGCAGTAAGCAAAAGGGAGAAAGGCAGTATTAATTTTATGTAACATAATGTCTTAATATGCAGTTTATCTTGACTTTTTCACATGATTTGTCCTGTCATTTGCATAGCGAGCTCTCATTCCTAATTTCACAGTCATTATGCACTGATGTCCCGATTTCTCAGCATCACTAATTTTGATGAACTAAAAATGGTTCCTGAAGGTCAGATTCATGTACAGTGAACATCTTCCACTGTTGTTGTGGGGATGTTTTGTGCGGGGGTGGGGGTGGGGGATGTTTGTGTGCAAGTTTTGCATTGTTTGGAAAACACCAGCCAGAACCTTTGAAAAATTTCTTTAACCTAACTCTGTAAGGTCATCAACGAATTCTTCCTATTGCGGTGGCCTTTTAAGTGTAGACGTAGATACACTGTAATTTAAAACAGATGGGCATGTCTGAATATTTTTATATGCAAAAAGGGACAGATGTATATGAATGGATAAATTATCCTTTTAAAAAGCTACTTCGCAGCACGAAATATCACCAATGATGAGAACAGTGAACTTGCATTCAATCTAGGGCAAACACAAGAAGGCATTATCAAAACATCTAACCATCTATAAATTAATTCCAATTAGTCTACTCTGTCTTCATACACAAGAAACTTTGTGAATTTTTCAAAATGTATTGGGTGCCAATCACTATCTTGTGAGCTGCTAAAGCCAACATATCACAATAGAAGTTTACTTTTCCTTGAAGGTTGCATCATCACAGAGGGAGGTTTGATTAAGCAAACAAAAGAACCATGTTTAAGGTTTCTTTTTTCCTCTGCGTTTCTTGGATGACGTACAATATAAATATTCTTGAGCCAAATTTCTGATGGTGATGAACAGGAAAACAGACAGGAACAGGGTGGTGTAAGATCGAAACTGGTGATGGACATGAAATTAACAGTGTTATAACAGGAGTCATCCTAGGAATAATCTATCTCTTGGTCACCATTTTTCAAAGAACTATGGAAAGCCTAGGTTGGAAAGGGGCATGAGAGAACTTGGGAGGGTTGGAGGGGGGGTGATGGAAATGCCATCTATCTTGACTGGGGTGGCAGTCACACAGATGTACTCAACTGCCAAATTCTTCCAACTGCACACTTAAACCGAGTGCATTTTATTGTATGTATAGTTCAAGAAAATCGATTTTAAAAGTTAAAAAAAAGACTGACATACACAGACAGGACTGACATAAACCCTTACCTACAGTCAATAGTTAAACATGCTTTTCGCAGGGTTACTTATTCAATGTTTGTAGTCATGTTACTGAACAGTAAAATGAACTTGAGTCTCCTCTTTTTTTTTTTTTTCTTCCCCCTTTGGACATTTCGATGGAGGTGCTGATGAGTAATAAAATGCTACAGCAGCAGGCACAGCAAAGGAGGGAAAGAGGCAAGAAGCCTGAGTAATCGTCCTGCATGGTGATCGGGTCTCTGAATACCCAGAAGTGGGCTATCATATCCTGATAGCCTTAACTTGGCTTTCACTGTCTGAAAGCACATTTTCACACCAGTTTGCTTGTGAGCCTTTCAAAGGTGGGCTCGAGCTTAATTTATTATAAATGTGATAATAACTGAGATTTCCCCAGTTTCTGCTCCGACGTGCCACGAAAGATAGGTTAGGGAAGGCTTTAACAAACATATCCAAATGGACCAGAAATCACTATGGGGTAGAAAGGGGTGGGGGGGGGGGTGGGGAATCTGAGCACAGGTTAAGGTTTTAAATAGTTAAGAAATATAGCCTACATATCCAGTCTCTTAACTCCCAATGTCCAACTTTTTCATGTAGCTAGTCCCTACTAATACTAGGAATCAAAGGGCATGCAATACCAGCGAGAGGCTATTACAGCCCACACTTTATTGCCCATTACTACTGAGGTCATTAGCGGCAAGAGTGATTGTACTGGTCTTAACCTATTGATCACTGTAACTACTATCATTTAATCCTGTGTTGAATGTCTGGAAAGCAGCTAAAGGCACACAAGAGAGAGTGCTTTAGCATTGAGAAATATGGCCAAAGCTTAGAAATTACACTTTGATTCATAAAATCTAGCCAGTGGTTTAAATCAATAGTATTTAAAACAGTCATGTGAGTTTTTAACTACAGTGTTCTACTATTTATGGGCCTCTCTCTGAGAGTCTTCAGTCAAAACTAAACTTTATTTTTTTCCCCCAGATTCCATGCCATTTACCTTACGTTCCTTGAGACAAAAACAATAAATTCTGATTTCTTTTTGTGCTACGGGGCCCATGCCTTAACTGGGAGTTTAAACTCATTCTTGATTTCTTTCTCAAATGACAATTTAAAGATAGTGCAAAAAAAATTATATCCCTGATGCTGTAACTACCTTAACTGTTTGAGAATATAGAAATGAGTATGTTTTATGAGTTAACAATGAATCATAGAAGGCAATTTATGAAGAACTAGAATGATTCTGTCTAGCTGCCTTCAGGGATCAGAAATTCAAATTAAACTTCTGGCAGACATTTAAAGAATGCTAGCATACAAAACTGAATTTAAACACACACACGCGCGCGCGCACACACACACACACACAGTTAACACTCTTTCGTTGAGTTTCAAGAGGGAATCGTGAATTAAAAAAAGCACACGCACAGAACAGTACACTGCTGACTGATACCATTTGGGTGTGGCCGATCCCAGGTGCACACGAACCTGCGGGAATGGCGGAAATTCAGCCGTGCCTGGCCGTCGGAACGCTGCTAGTATGGACCTGCTACTACCTTAATACCAGTAACTGGGGAGACGTCCTTAGCACCAGCAAGGGCTGGTCTAAGCCCAGACACCACTGTGTCAGTTCTGCCTGATACAGTTTTTCTTTGACTTCAAATGGACTTTCCATCATCCGAACGGCCAGGAGACTATGAAAATAATATGCCTTGTTAGCTTCTTTGATTCCCACTGGGGAAAGGCAGGTGATGGGGAGGGGGAAAATATCTCAAAAGCAAACAAACAAATAAAAACGCCCATAGAAACAATACTCCTTTCTAATCTAGGAGACAATTGGAGGAATTGGGTGGGAGGGGAGATGACACAATATAAATACTGGAAATAACATGCTATCATTTTTTTTTTCTTTCTCTTTGCACTCACGTTAACTACAAGTAAATGCTGCCCGGGGTAAATACACACAAATTTTGTAATCAGCATCTTCTCATAATTGCTCTGCGTACAAATAGTGAAAATGAGGTGGCCAAAAAACTTAAGTCCTGTTTTATTTCCATTAATCTGGATTAATAATTTAGAAACTAATTTTAATCTGTTATTCACCACGTGTATGTCCCAGGAAACTTGAGTCCCTTCCAGACTTCAGGCTGTGAATGGATGATAACTGACCAGGTTAGGAAGTGTTACCTGGTTCATTAAGTAACAAGAACAAAACAAATTAAATAAGAAAGCTCCAGAAGAGCAACACCAAACCAAATCAAGAAAGTAGCTCCATTGAAAAAACAAAAACAAAAATAAAAACAAAAAACCCTCAACTATGCCACATTTCATATGACCACAGGGATGCTAGCCTGTGTAAAAGAAAATAAGTACTAGACTGTTACCCCTCTGAGAAAGACCACAATTTTCATAACTAATAAACCAAAGGATACAACTGCTATATTGGCAAACGAAAAAGTTTGGAAGCTTCTATCTATTCCTCATGGTATTTAGAAGGAAGGAGAAGTAAAGG